AGCAAGCGGACCTGACCTAGGGAGGATTTTATATGGGGTTTATTTTTTAGCAATTTGACAGAGACACAACTTTAAAATTTGATTTAATTCGGTTTTATTGGGGGGGGAATGTATTTATGTTTTGTTTTAAATATGTTGTGCGCCGCCCTGAGTCCCGTCGGGAGAAGGGCGGCATATAAATTAAATAAAATAAATAAATTAAATAAATAAACGTCTGTTCAGCTGTCTGGGATGGCCATTGGATTGGGTAAGAATGATCTTGTATTGTCAGAAAGAATTTAATCTGGTTTAGTGATCCTTTGCAAAATCCCAATTCCCAACCTTTCTTAGCTGCTGTACAAGCTGAAATAGTTCTTGTGAGGCTTTGCTAAATCTTTCTGACGATGATTAGAGGGAAGGTTTCTAGAGTTGCATAATCCCTTTCCCCATTTTGGGGCTGGAAGAAGTGACAGAAAACCTGCAGAAAGGTGAGTGATTGCAGACTTCAGCTTCTTTTGTGTGGAGGGCCTTCAGGCCTACATCGCTTCTGCCTAGTACAGGATAGATGAATGTTGGTCTCTCCCTCTCTCCTTAGGTACCACTTGGATACAAGAGATCGTGGATATGATCCAACAAGAAGGCGACCTGGAGAAATGTCAGAGGGCCCCTGTGCATCATCGACACCCATTCATTGAATGGGCAAGGCCATTCCAGACCTCGGGTAGATCTAACTAGCCTGCCACTTCCACACAGAAGCCTGGGAGAAGTTGTTTATTGGGGCAGGGGGAACATGCCTAACCAGACATCCTCAGCAAATCTGTACAAGTAGCCAGACATGTCTTAAATATTAATTCAGGTCCAAATATGGATTCTAATCCCTTTTGTCTTCGGTGTGTCTTTAAACAGGAGTGGACCAAGCTGAAATGATGCCCTCTCCAAGGACCCTCAAGACTCACCTTCCTGTCCAGCTGCTCCCTAAGTCCTTCTGGACCGAGAACTGCAAGGTATTTCTTGTTGCTGCCAAATCTTCTCCAGAAGATCCCAAATTAAATATAAACGGAGTCATTGACTACCTTCTTACTTACTTAACTTCATGTTAGATTTATCTCCTACCTCAAGACAACACATGTCCTGGTTGCTCCTACCTTAGTCCCCTGCCCAGTGGTGGGATTCAAATATGTGAACCACCAGNACAAAAAAATTAGCTACCGGTTCTGCCAAAGTGGTGCGAACTGGCTGAATCCCACCACTGCTCCTGCCACAAAAAAAGTCATGTGAAGTAGGTTGGGCTCTAAGTGGAGCAATTCCTCCACATTCCCATTTGTTTGTGGGAATGGAGTGAAATCCTTCTTACCAAGATGGTCAATTGTATACCTTTGGGGAGGGGGAGACTACATCTCTTATCTGCTGTCACATGGGCAAAGATTTCTTGTCAGGGCTGGATTAAGGCCAACTGATGGCCTAAGCCAGGGGTGGGGAACCTTGGCTCTTTTATGACTTGTCCACAAGTCATAAAAGAGCCAAGGTTCCCCACCCCGCCCTAAGCAAAGTCCAACAATTAGCTGCTCTTCCATTGCTTAACATTAACACTGTTGAAAACCAGAGTTGAGTGTGGCAGTGAAAGAGTTAAAGGCAATGGTCCTCCCCACCTCTCTGTGGTGCCATCCCCCCTTCCCTTGATTCTAGTGTTTCTCAACCTTGGCAACTAATCATCATCATCATCATCATCATCTATATAAATAAAAATGTAAATGTTCGTTTGTTCAAAATCTTAAATCTCCGAAAGTTCTTCACCGATTGCTTTGAAATTTTGACACAACGTTGCATTCGAATACGCACGTGTTTTTATATACCTACTATTATATAGATGTCACACCTGTGACAGGTTAAAAACATGCTTTTTTAAAAAAAACAGCGCCATCTGTTGGACATAAAAGCAACACACGCTACGATTTTACAATTCCATTTCAATGTTTCCGATTTACGATCCATTTACGATTTCCAAATTTCCAATTTTACGATCCCATAAAGACAATGGAACAACAAAAAATATTGTATACCCACAAGCATTGTGAAATTAAACATATTACAAACGTGCGCTTTCTCTTTTCTTTCTTTTCCATTTAACCAGACTGAGCCACAGCAACGCGTGGCCGGGTACAGCTAGTAATAATAATAATAGTAAAGTTGGAAGGGACCTTGGAGGTCATCTAGTCCAACCCCCTGCTCAGGCAGGAAACCCTATACCATTTCAGACAAATGGCTGTCCAGTCTCTTCTTAAAAACCTCCAGTGTTAAGACATGTGGACTTCAACTCCCCAGCCAGAATTCTGGGAGTTGAAGTCCACCTGCCTCAGAATTGCCAAGGCCTTGAAACACTCAAGCACAGTGCTATTTTTACTTATTGCTTAATCCTGGACTGTTTTTTTTCCACCTGCTGTTATTGCCTCAGTTCATTTATATGGCAAGAAATCCCAAAGATTGCCTGGTGTCCTGTTTCCATTTCCAAAGAATGAACAAAACGTTACCCCATCCTGGAACATGGGAGGAGTATTTGGAGATTTTCACGGCAGGCAAAGGTAAGTCAGCACCCCTTTCTCGTTTTGTTTTTTTTGAAAGGAACAAGTAATTGGGAGGTGGGGGGGATTTCAGTAAGGCAGATTCCATGCGGGAAATGATTATTAGGTGCATTATTAGTAAGCCTTGCGCTACAAGAAAGTAAATTGCACTAGAGCAGGGCTTTTCAACCAGTGGTATGGGTACCACCTGTGGTACATTGGCACCTGGCAGGTGGTACGTGGCCATCCCAGAAAAATGGTAGCGGGGGAGGGGAATGAGCTGAATCGGTGGCAGCACCGGACAAGCCTGAGCGAGAGATGGCTGGAGCTGCAGGGCTGTCAGGGCTCAACGGAAGCGCCAGGATCAGTGCCACTTTCTAGCTGAACGGCGCTTCGGGGCTGTCAGGAGTCAGTGGAAGCACCAGGATCAGTGCCAGGCTCCAGCTGGAGCTCGGCGCTGATCCTGGTGCTTCTGCTGAGCCCAGAAGAAGCGCCGATCAGCTGGAATGTTGCAGCATCTCCAGGGTCTTGTGATTTACATTCAGATGCTTGGCAACTGATTCATATTTATGACAGTCACAATGTCCCAGGGTCATGTGAAGTGACCAAAACCTGCTGCGACCACCCAGCAGACGGGGGGAATAAAAACCAAACACCCCCCACTCCACCCCCGCTGCCAATCCTCAACAGAAATGCTCACAACATTGAAAACCTCAGACAGGAGGAAGAGTGCGGCCGGGCGGGCCGGCAGTTGTCTTGCTCGGCTGTGGCTTGGGGGGTCTTTTTTCAGTGCTATTGTAACTGCGAACAGTCACTAAGCGAACTGTTGTAAGTCAAGGACTACTTGTACTTGTACTGTGGTCTTCAGTGGTCTTTTGAGTTTGATGTTTATGGATATCAGAAAAATGCCCAATTGTTGTGATTTTCTTTAAAGAAATCAACTGAGGGAAAGATCTGGGATTAAATTTGGTAGGAAACAAAATCCTCTTTGGAAACAAGTAAGGAAAGATACATGCCAACATTTCCACTAAGCTATCTACAGTTTTAAATACAAAGCAAAACAATCTCCATGGAATGGAAGGACAGACTTCCTTCTGTACAGGCATTTGCCAAATTGTACTGTTTACATCATGTTTTTTGTTTTTGTTTTTTTGTCAGGAAGGCAAAATTCTGTGACAGCGTAGGAGAAGGAAAGATCTGACCATCTGCCCAGAATGGAACTGGAGACAATGGAACCTCTTGGGATTATTACAGTGAGAAGAACTGCCAGGTTTTTTTTTGTGGGGAAAAAAAGCAATTTAGTACATGGTTTGGCTCAGAGTCTAATATAATTTTTTCCCTAAAATGTTTTGACTATACAATTAGAAGGCTTGAATTAATTAATGACACCTGCATCCCACCACAAAGGTAAAAATATCCATATTCTTATAAAGCAGGCACGGAACACATCAGCCAGGATTGCATATCAACTTCTTGATTGCATATCAACTTCTCTATCTATATTTGGGAAGTCTTCTTTTTTTTAAAAAAAGGCTGATGATGGCCCCATGTTCTTGATTTTTGCTTAATATTGAAAATATTGCCTTCTAGGACCTTATTCATACCCTTAATATATTTAAAGTTTTCAATCATGTCCTCCCTTTCCTTCTGTCCTCCAGGCTGTACATATTCAGTTCCTCCAGTCTCTCCTGATATGTATACAACACACACACACAAAGAGAGAGCGAGAGAGAGAGAGAGACTATCAGACACATATCAAAGAAGTTATAAGATCACAAGCAGGTATATGTATATAATTTTTTTAAAAAACAATTTTGTCAAAGGAATCAGATTTGCTCGTTCACAGTCACAAAATTATTTTAGGCAGGTTTGCAAATTACAGGAAGAAACCAAACCAAAAGATTCCCAGCACTTCCATTTTTAATGTTTGGCATGAAGCCTGGCCACTGTATCTCTGTCATGGAAAAGCAGCATAATTTATAAACCAGCACCTCACTCATGTCAGATCTGCGGAACATGTAAACAGTGGTTTACAATCCTCCTTTGCTATTTTCTCCTTTCCACAATAGGGGAATAATACCTAATAATTTTCTGCTAATCTCTCAGGCCGCCGGTTCACTGCATTCATTTTAACTTGATTGCTACCCAAAGAGACATACCTACGTTAAAAGATTCGCAAGAGCCATTTCTAGCACTCCAAAGGTCATCCATATGCCTCCAGAAAACAATGTGAAGGTTTTTTTGTTTTGTTTTTTTTTAAAGCCGTGTGGGAAGGCTAGTAGAGTAGGCAGCTTAGACCTGGCATACTTTGTTGCCAAGATAACTAGAGGTCTTCCACCTGTTGCCTAAGCAACTAGAATTCACCTGAGGATGAAAATGCCATAGTCCATTCAAAGCAGATCTCTTTATTTTAAAAAAAAGGGAGCCTTTGGCTACGGGTTTTCAGATTATGAGCCCATTTCAATATTTTATGCTGTTCCTTTTTTTTTTTTTTTACTTTCAAGAAAGCTGGTTGCTGTTAAAATGGAGAAATCACTTTTTTTTTTTAGCTTTAGCGAAATGGGCAAATAAGGGGTACAGTGTCGGCAGGTATGTTTAAAAAAAGGGTAAAATGGCGGTCGTGACATCATGATCTTTGCTTTATTTGCATAAGAAGAGGCGGGGCTTCAATTGCAGCAGCATCTTGATTTTAATTGAATTATTTAACAAAAGGATGGATCCCTCTATTACAGGGGTAGGCAATCTTGGTTCTTTTATGACTCGTGGACTTCAACTCCCAGAATTCCTGAGCCAGCTTGGCTCAGCATGGAAACCTCTCCCTTTCCCTTCAGCATAGCTGGCTCAGGAATTCTGGGAGTTGAAGTCCATGAATCATAAAAGAGCCAAGGTTGCCTACCCCGGGTCTAGTCTAATGAAGAGAAGGACGAGCGGGGACATGATAGCAGTGTTCCAATATCTCAGGGGCTGCCACAAAGAAGAGGGAGTCAAGCTATTCTCCAAAGCGCCTGAAGGCAGGACAAGAAGCAACGGGTGGAAGCTAACCAAAGAGAGAAACAACCTAGAGCTAAGGAGAAACTTCCTGACAGTTAGAATAATTAATCAGTGGAACAACCTGCCTCCAGAAGTGGTGAATAATCCAACACTGGAAGTTTTTAAGAAGAGACTGGACAGCCATTTGTCTGAAATGGTGTAGGGTTTCCTGCCTGAGCAGGGGGTTGGACTAGATGACCTCCAAGGTCCCTTCCAACTTTATTATTATTATTATTATTATTATTATTATTATTATTATTATTATTATTACTACTACTACTACTACTACTACTACTACTACTACTACTACTACTACTACTACTACTATTACAGCCCTTCAAATAACTTGACCCCAGGGTATTTGGGCTTTAAAGGTGACAACCAGCATCTTACATTGGACCCAGAAATGAATTGGCAGCTAATGCAGCTCCAGGCCGCCAAAGAACAGTGACGGCTGGACACCATCAAAGCTGACACCTGCCAGGGCATAGAAAAACTCAAAATAGTAATGCAAGATTGGAAGATGTGGCGAGACCTGGCCCATACAATCGCCAAGATCGGACACGACTGAATGGATAACGTCATCAACATCATCATTTGGGGGGGGGGAATTTACACTCTTATTAAGCCTCAGAAACTACATCTCATTTTGTTTAAGATTTGCTGGCCCTCTTACTCTTCTTCACTATTCACAGGCCTTGAAAACAGCTTAGGCAGGGAAGTGAGACAAGGTATTCATTCCAAGGATAGTTTTTCCATTAGATAAATGTATTTTCAGAAAACTTAGAGAGGCCCTGGCATGGGAGGAAGGAAGTTCCTTATATGGGATGATGGAAGGATGGAATTGGGTGAATGAGGAAGGGGGTGGTATTTTAAATGTATATAATCTATGCTGGAAAGAGGGAAGTCTTTGCAAGCTGTCCCATCATCTAACAACTTGCTATCACTGCTCTTTGGTGAAGAATATAGAACGTAATTTCATGCAGCTGCCAGGTGTGTGTTTCATCCCAGCTCAGAAAGGACTTGTTAAGGAATAAAAATATTCCAATAGGAGGTTGCAAGGTGTGAGGCCCCCCTCTATTATTGCAAAAGGGTTCTTGGGAGAGGAGGTGGAAAGTGGGGTTGAAGGGTAAGAAAGGAGAAGCTGTCTTTTAGACAGATAGATTTTAAACCAGAACTGCTTTTGTTAGGAATATTGGGAGCTAAATATGAGGAGAATGAATATTTAATATTGCATGTACTGATAGCAGCGAGAATAGTATTTGCCCAGTACTGGAAAAATGAAAAGTTACCAACTGAAGAGATTTTAATTAAGAAAATTTTAGAATGTGCAGAAATGGATGGATTAACCTTAGAGATCAAAGAGAAAGAAGATTCAGTTTATTTTAGAATATGGGATAATTTTTACCAATGGTTAGGAAAATGAACTAGTGAGAAAGGAATGTGATATGTTATCTTGAATATATATTAGTAAGACGAATGATACGTATTGACCAACTGATACTGTTTATAATTATTGTTTATTATAATTACTACAGCTATTTACCATTATATTAATCAATGTTAACTGAACATATGTACCCAGACAACAATCTGCTTGCTAAAGCTTGAAAATGTTATTGGGGGGTAACCCCAATGTTGTTTCCAATCCCGTCCTAACCCCAATACCGACCCTAACCCCACCCTGAACCTTAATCCCTATCCCGGTCCTAGCCCTCCCCAACCCTATAAAACTCAATAAAGATTTGTATAAAAAAAAAAAGGAGAAGCTGGATTTCCGGAACGAGAAAAGAGGCCGACTCAACTTGCATTGTGCTGGAGTCATCTTCATAAGAGTATTCCAGTATTTGAGGGGCTGCCACCAAGAAGAGGGGGTCACCTTATTCACCGAAGCACCAGAGGGCAGGACGAGAAACAATGGTTGGAAACTGATCAAAGAGAGAAGCAACCTGGAATTAAGGAGAAACTTCCTGACAGTGAGGACAATCAACCAGTGGAACAGCTTGCCTCCAGAAATCGTCACTGGAGGTTTTTAAGAAGAGGCTGGACAGTCACTTGTCTGAGATGGTATAGGTTCTCCTGCTTGAGCAGGGGGCTGGACTAGAAGACCTCCAAGGTCCCTTCCAGCTCTATTCTATTCATCCCAGCAATGGATTTTGCAATCATCGTTCATGACAAAAACTGGATTAAAAGCAACCCAAAATACCGCAACGTGCAAAGGCCCAAAATTTCCTGCAACCGATCTCTCAAATTTCTGGCCTGTTGCCTTATTCTCAGGGTTACTATGCCAACGCTCCAGGCCATTCATAAATTGGTGGGGCGAGGTTCAAAACTGGCTCGAGCTGGTTTTAGGGATAGAGAAAGGGATAGCCTTGTTCCCGGGAGAAACCATTCTGGCGAAGCAGGGAGGGAAGACTGCAAGTTCCTAAATCTGAAATGTTGGCAAAATAGAGAATTGGAGAATTGAGACTGCCGTAGAAAATTATGCCATAGAAAATTTTTGCCCGAGGTTGGTTGCAATACATTAGAATATTAAGCCGCCACACACCAACGTTATTGATGCAGTGAAAACAGGCAGGTTTTCATTAGGAGGATAAATCAATTCTTCGCAGTATCCAGGCAGACTAAGGGCCCAAAAGATGAAAATGTTTGTTTAGCGGCCTTTATCCACTGCATTCCTCCCTTTTTCATCCAAAGCCCAAGATTGCATGCTTTTGTGACGTCTTGGAGAGCTGTGTGAGTCAAATGGGAAAGTTTGAACAAGAGGTAGGATACGGATAGGATGCAAAACCTGTCAACCAGAGGGGCCATTTTCTGTTAGCCGATTTCCTAGCAGAGTTAATGCTTGTGCAAGTCCACACATTTCTGTTCATCGGTTCAAATGTGGGATCTAATAAAAAAAAATATCAAAATCGGAATCGAGCTGAAAGGGACCTTGGAGGTCTTCTAGTCCAACCCCCTGCTCAAGCAGGAGACCCTATACCATTTCAGACAAGTGACTGTCCAGTCTCTTCTAAAAAACCTCCAGTGATGGAGCACCCACAACTTCTGGAGGCAAGCTGTTCCACTGGTTAATTAATTGTTCTCAGTGTTAGGAAGTTTCTCCTTAATTCCAGGTTGCTTCTCTCCTTCATTAGTTTCCATCTATTATTTCTTGTCTTGCCTTCCAATGGAAAATAAGTTGACCCTCCTCTTCTTTGTGGCAGCCCCTCAAATATTGGAATACTGCTATGTCACCCCTAGTCCTTTTCTCTAGACTAGCCATATCTAGTACCTGCAACTGTTCTTCATATGTTTTAATCTTATATTTATTATATATTCATATGTTTTGTACTGATGCATCCATTTCTGAATCAGTCTCTCTGTAAAAACAGGCTGCTGTGCTAATCCACAGCATAAATGCTGCTTAAATTCCATGTCATCAATGAAATGAAATGCAAGCAACTCTTGAGGATTATAGTGGCAGAATGAAAGGAAGACAAGCCAGATGGCGCAAAATAGCATTTATTACACATGGGAAACATAGCAAACACAGCCTACCTCGTCATCCTTGAGGAGCTGCCCCAGGGGCCACCACTAAAAGGCTCTGCCTGCTCCAAGCACTCCCAAAACCCTCCAACGCTGATCCCAGGTTATGCACGTATAAGCTGATTCAGGTGGATTTGTGGCTTTCTAGGTCAAAACAGCTACTTTCAGTAGCAATGAAGGAGAATATTTCTAGCTCAGGGCTAAAATGATGGTCCCTTGGTGCTCTCTGAGTTTTCTTTCTTTCTTGCAAACGTTTCATTACCCTAATGTGTCTATTGATGGCTGATTTGTCAGAGCGCCAGGCTTCTAGAAATTCCCTGGCATTTTTGGATTTGGCCTGGTCTAGGATTGTCACATTTTCCCAATTAAAACTACGGTTACATCTGTCTACACATGTTGTGAAATTAAAGAATTTTCGTCATGCCTTTTGACGGTCGGTTGGTATTCGTGGATGCATTCTGCCAGTCTTCTGCCTGTTTGTCCTACATAGTGATTGTTGCAGATCTTACATTGTATGTTGTAGATGACTCCTGTTTTTTTTTTCTTCTGGGGTTGCTGGGTCTTTTGATTTGCTTATAATGTTCTGAAGGGCTTCTGTTGGCCTGTGTGCTATGCTGATAAGTAGGCTTAGCAAGATCGGGAGCTGAGCTGCCAGATTTTTGCCCCAGCGCTGGCTACAGTTTCGGAGCCCTTTTCAGAAGCGGAGCGTGCAAAACTGCACCAGGCGAAAAAGGGTGGACCGCTCAGCCAGATCTTCTCCCCCTCCTGTCCCGAAAGACGATGGGCCTGAACAGCAGCGATGCCTTTCATGGTGCCTCTGTCTTCTTAGAAGCGACCGATGCTGGATTCCCAAAACAGCTCAGAACTGGATCCGGAGTGTGCTAACCCCTGCGGTCTATAAATCCGTTTTAAATGCCTCTAGATTCCTCTGACATTTCATCCATAGGGTTGAGTGTGTGTGTGTTTTTGGCGCCTTGCAAAAAAGACGCCACACCCCCCCCCCCCCGTTCCACAACAGAGGCCCACAGGGACAGCTTTTTTCCCTGATTTCTCCTCAATCCCCCCCCCCACTTCGTCCTTTGGTTGCGCCCAGGCTGCCGTCGTGATCTCATGCCCACCCAGCAGGCTGGGGTGATACCATTTCGATCCTGCGACGGGGGGGGGAAAGCAGCTGGCTTTCTAAACCTCTTCCCGCGGAGCTGGAAGTCTTTATTTCCAAATAAAGAAACTTCGGGTGGAAGCTTGCGCGCTCATCCGCGAACAAGAGAGTCCTTTTTTTTTTTGAGAACGCAAGGCAATTGGCCTCATTCAAAGGACTCCCCCGGTCACCCCTATCATCTAAGATGGTGCTGCCCGAAAGGAAAGGGGAGGGGCGGGTATATTTGCCGCGAAGGGAGCGGCCAGGACAGGCGGTGAAGGCGACGCGGAGGAAGGTTTGCCGGGAAGCCGCAGCGATGGCATCCAACGGTGAGGAGGGCAGGGGAGACTCGATCGGTTTCCCGGAGAGACCGCGAACCGGGATGCCGGGGCTCTCCAACCGTTGTAACGGGGCGGGGGCGCACGTGCGCGCGCTCAGGGTTTTAGCGTGATTTCAGCAGGATCAAGTCGCTAGTCCTCGTGGTCACAGGGAACGGGCGATGGGGCACTAGGGCAAACGGGCTTCCGTGGAGAGGCTTTACCGCAGGGGTGCCAAATCAGGGGGATCCATTGCGGGAGGGAGGAATCGGGGGGGGGGGAAGGAAGGCGGACGTGCCTCGATTAGAACCCGGAGCTTCGCCCTTTCATGCTTTTGGGTGGGACTGCCAGAGGAACCCGCGAGTGAGATTTCAGGGCTTCCGTTGAGGCGGGGCTTTGAAGAGAGCGCAGGGCGGCCGAGAGGCGAGGCATCGGTCAAGACGAGGAGTCGGAGTCGCGTCTCTGCCCCGTTTAATTTTGGGGAGTGGGACAAGCCGCCCCCTTCGGCACGTGGATGGGGCGGTCAGAGCTCTCGACGGGAGGCTTTGGGCTGGTTTCTAGATCCTGGCCTGTTAAAAGAGAGCGAGAGAGAAGGTGCGGATGAATGAATGACTTTCTCCCCTGTCCGCGGAAGGGTTTGCGCATCGCCATCGGCCTTAACTGCGCCATCCGCTGCGGCCATTTTAGGTAAAGCGTGAGACCCAAGGGTGGGGGAGGGAAGGAGCGGAAAAAGAGAGCGAGAGAGAGAAACGGGGTTTCCGCGGAACTCTTGAGGGACAGGGACAACCACGCATGCGCAAGACGGACCGTTGGAAAAAATCGGGGAGAAGCTGGCTTTTGAACTAGGCAGTCGGGGAGTACGCATGCGCTGCCTCGTCTAGCCGGGCCCGCGAGTCTACGTGGGCCGACGGCGCGTGCGCGTAGAAGCCGCGCTTTTTTTTTTTTTGGTCGCAGTGGTACATCCGGGTTCTTCCTCCGGTTGCGCCTCTTAAAAAAGAGTTAGAATGCCAGTTCGCCCACGCGCGCGCGCTCAAACGGCTGCTTGGCCGCTGAGGGAGCGCGCGCTCTCCTCCCCGCCCGTCTTCCTTAGTGGGCTGTAAAAGGAGCCGCTGGGCTCGGCCCCAATTCCACACACTCCCCTTCGGCCAAATCTAACTCTGTTTAAGCTCGTAACTGAGCCTTAACAGCTGTTTCTGCTCTTATGGGTAGGTGAATTATTCCTCAGTCCTTGTTAAGCTGTCACTCATTTTGACAGCGCTGCCTTGGTTTCCCCGCGGCCCCCCCCGCTGTTTTTATTAATTGCTTGTTATTGCCATCATGGGCTGTTGGATAGTTTTTTAAAAAATGGACCTTTGCACAAGGAGAATTGGAGAACTTAGGAATTGCTTGCAGTCCCAGGCTAGAGCTGAAGGAAGATCTTATTCACTGAATTTGAGAGAAAACATTATTACATACGCAAAGGTGGTCTTTTTCATCTACCCCAAAATCCAAAACATGGAATGCAGTAATTGAGGCAAAGCAAAAAAAAGCATTTATTAAGGAGGATCAGATATTTTTATAGGGTACAGAAACAAATGATGGATACATTAATAAGTACATGTGAAACGTCAGTAAGCAAATGATCAAACAGACATTGATTATATATGAGACTTAAACAATAGAAGACATTGATTCTCATATATTCCACAAGTGGCAGATTTATGAGTGACACAGTCCCTGTCTTAGTCAAGTTCGTATCTCATCACTTGCAAGTATATTCAGGGACTTCCAGAATAGACTTTTGTGTAGTTGCTAAAAAAAGCAAGTTCTTGACATACCAAAATGGCCTTGACTAAGAAGAGAAAAACATGCTTTCTTAAAATTACAAGAAGAGGCCTAGATTGCAATTGTTAAAAATGCATTGTTAAAATTGTTAAAAGTCTAATAATGAAGTCTAACATTCCAGGTAATAGTTTGTTCCCTCAATTTTTTTAATTCCCACCCCCTCCCCTTCTGGATTGAAAGGATTCTTGAATTTTGCCAAAAAAGAGTTCTGCAAATCTGATTAAACTGACCACCAGAATCATCCCCAGCTGTTGCCTAAAACTCAAGCATCCAGATTGGTGTAAAGATGAAAAATATGGTCTCTGAATTTGGAAAGAGACACTAACTTTGCAAAGTTGGCTTTTTCACACATGCACTCCATGAGTCATGGATACTTCAGGCAAAGCAAAAGATGTTTATTAAAGAGGGAGGGGGGGTCAAGTTTTTGTAGATTACCAAAATGATGCTTTCAATATATCTGATGCATTAGAAAACAATAAACAATAGAAGATATTAATTGGATATGAGAAATAGTAGAAAGTACTGGTTCTAGATAACATTTCGTCAGCAAGAAATTTATGGGTTATATACATCATTCCTTTTCTGAGTCAGGTTTGTATGTTTTTTAATATTGGCAAATGTATCTCAGGATTTCTAGAATATGCTCCCCATTTAGTTGCTAAAGATTGATTTTTTTTAACATTAAAAATATTAGTTTGGTTAAAAAGAAAAAACATGGTTTCTGGAACTTCAAAAGGAAGCATGGATGCCATGTTTAAATGCTAATATCATCATTAAAAAACTAATGAAACCTGAAATTCCAGGTAACACAGCTACAACAAAGTTAAATGTGATGTTACAGGGCAAGCTCTGCTTTTTCACATTTGTGTTGTGCATAAGGGGTAGCATTTGAAGTGTAACAATATATTTTGTCACATTCTGCAAATCTCATGCCAAGGTGGCACACAGATTTTATAATTTTTTTATGCAATATTGTGAACCAGCACTGGGATACAGCTCTTTGTACAGATATATAGCCAATGCTATACAACTTGTGACATCTCAGAAATTGAAATAAAAGTCTGGGCATCTATTGGCCCTGATTCTTGGGGATGCTGGGAAGTGTAATACAAATTGGGGATTGCCTTTCACTGTGTT